AAATGAGATCTCCCTCTCTGGTGGCCAAACAGCTGTGCGTCTCTGCGGCAGGAAGGCAGAGACAGTATTACAGCCCTGTGACAACATCCGGAGCTTGGGAAGAGAGACGGGCCTCCCACATAATGGCTGAACCAGGCTGCTAAAGTCCAGCACTCTGGTAATTCAAGAGTTAAACTTCCATACCGCATAGCAACATGGGCTCCGATGTGCTTGATTTGATCACTTCAGTCATGTCTAGTTAATCCCAAGAAAGATTATAAATGAGTCATGACTTCAAATCCAGGTTTAAACACAGATGTGTGTGCATTTTTTACTGCAGAATAATAAAATTTGGTCATGAACAACCAATTTGCACTAAGTCATATTATAAGAAGGTTTTTACATCATTATTTTGAATGTACAACTGGAAGCAAATGCACACTGATATAAACATTCAGACTAAGCAATTGACCATCTAACGACAATGTGGATGATACACTCACCGGACAGTTCATTAGGTACACCTTACAAGTACCAGGTTGGAACCCTTTTGCCGCTTTTTGGCATATTGTCAAGAAGGAAATATTCTTCAGAGATTTTGGTCCATATTGACATAATAGCATTACACAGTTGCTGCAGATGCACAACATGTTCAACCTTGAGGCAGATGGGCTACAGCAGCAGAAGACCACACCGAATTTGGGTCATTAGTACCACTCACTTTGGGTCATTAGTACCAAATGAGCATCGTATCAACACCACAGCCTACCTGAGTATTGTTGCTGACCATGTCCATCCCTTTATGACCACAGTGTACCCATCTTGGCTACTTCCAGCAAGATAATGCAATAAAGCATGATTCATAACAGACTGGTGTCTAGAACATGACAATGAGTTCTCTGTACTCAAATGGCCTCCAAAGTCACCAGATTCAATCCAATAGAGCACCTTTGGGATGTGGTAGAACGGGAGATTCGCATAATGGATGTACAGCGAAAAAATCTGCAAGAACCGCATGATGCTATCATTTCAATAGGACCGAAATCTCTGAAGAATATTTCCAGTACCTTGTTAAATCTTTGCCATGAAGAATTAAAGTGGGTCCAACACAGTACTAGTAAGGTGTACCTAATAAAGTGGCCGGTTAGTGTATATTCCATCACCAGAAATAATTGAGGTCATGTCCATGTGTTGTGCGATAAGTCAAGACATTAATTATTGTGACAGGCCTATTCATTGTTCATGAATACAAGATAAGGTTTAGTAAAAAAAAAAAAACAAGTAAAATAATTTCGTTTTTATTAGTATTGCTTTAACAAACATCCTGATTTTGACCTCAAATCTTTGCACGTCTTTATTAATGAGCCTGTTTTTGCAGAAGTTCATGTCGATAAGGGCTGCAGCACTGCCTCTAAACCACTAACATTACTCAGTGGTGGCTAAAAGTCAAAGTCAGTGTTAAGCCTTTAAATAAGGTGCTACTTCAGCATTCAAATGATGATTGAGGTCCATGTGGTCCCTCTGATGTCACAGCTTGACATGTTCCTGATGCAAACATCCACATACACACTGAGGCAGTCCAACAGCACACAGTGGGTCTGCGTTCAATCTCTCAGCCACTATAAATCCACAGACATGTAGTTCACTGCTCTTTAGAGCAACGCGCACAAGATCTGCACACCATCAAAGCTGTCACAATAGGGATATTCCCTTTTCACTATAAATAACCTGATTTAATTAGCCAATTACTCAGTTTTTAAACTTTAAAAGACTAAATGGTATTGTTTAAACAATATATCAAAGCGAGAAAAGGATTAAAGCACTTTTAAAGTACCCATATAGTCCTGTTTTTATCTTTTTGTTTTGAAAATCTCCCACAATGGGTTTGGATAGAATCAGTTTCGTTTTCTCATAACTTACATGTAAGGTCATTTAATTTTTCAAAGACTCATTCAATTTTCATTCTTTGATTGGTTAGACAGTTTAGTCTGTTGTGATTGGTCAACTGCTTATAATAAATGTTGGAAATGAAAGCCAATTATCAAATATGCAGCAGTTTCCTTCACTTGGCATCAAAGACTGTAGATAGTTACTCTTAATGGGATAGTCAATCCAATTCAAAATTCTGTTATCGTTTACTTACACTTCACTTGTTTAAGGTATATTTAGCTTTCTTACTGTTGAGCACAACAGAAGATATTTAGAAGAAAGCTAAAAACCTGTAACCACAGACTTCAATAGTATTGTATTCCATAGTGTTTTCCTACTAATGAAGTCAATGGTTACAGGTTTTCAGTTTTATTCAAAATATATTCAATAAAAAAAAAAAATAAATAAAAAGAAAACTTATAATCATCTGAAATCACACAAGGATGAGTAAATAATGATTAAATTTACATTTTTGGATGAACTATCACTATAACTTGATATAACTATATCAATTTAAAATAAAAAATAAATGCTTACCCGTGACAAGATGCAGACAAACCCAGCTACAGTGTTGGAGGGTCAGGCATGTTTTCAGGCAGCCACTGAAGAGTGTACACTCAAACAAAAAGACTATTGGTGATTGTTTAAACTATTTATTTAAAATGAGTTGAAACAATACAATTATACAACGCAATATATTGCATTCTTATAAATTTTTATTGATAACTTATAAATTTATAAAAGTTATTGAGTTAACGTAATTAATTTTGTTGCGAAAACATGAAGCAATGGTGTGGAACCACTCAGCCTTTTGTTACAGTATAGGTCAGAATAATGCAAATATGTTACAGAGGGTGTATTTTTATATATATAAACACACATAAGTTAGAATAATTATTAGCCGCCCTTAGAATTTTTTTTTGTCTTTTTTAAATATTTCTCAAATTATGTTTAACAGGGTAAGGAAAGTTTCACATTATGTCTGATAATATTTTTTCTTCTGGGAATAATGTCCATTTGTTTTATTTTGGCTAGAATAAAAGGAGCTATTAATTTTTTAAACACCAATTCTAAATCATAGAACAGGAAGAGCTAAAATTATAAATAGCTCTAAACCAGCCACATGTATGTTGGACCCAATTCCAACAAAATTACTGAAAGAGTTGCTACCTGTTATAGGAGAACTTCTTCTCAATGTTATCAACTCTTCTTTATATTAGGCCATGTTCCAAGTCCTTACAAGCTACTTGTATAAAGCCTATTATTAAGAAATTACAACTGGACCCCAGCAACTTAGCTAGTTATATGCCTATTTCAAATCTTCCATTTATGTCTAAAATACTAGAAAAAGTTGTTTCTGCCCAAATATGTTTATTTCTGCAGACGAACAATGTTTATGAAATGTTTCAGTCAGGTTTCAGGGCTCATCACAGTACAGAAACCGCCTTAGTGAAAATAATCAACGATTTACTCTTAGCTGCTGACCAAGGGTGCATCTCCCTATTAGTTTTACTTGATCTTAGTGCGATATTTGACACCATTGACCACAATATCCTCATAAATCTCTTAAATTCTACAAGTGTCCAGAGACAGGCTCTACAATGGTTTAAGTTATACTTAGCTGACCGTTACCAGTTTGTGAATATTACTGGACAGCCTTCACAAGTTAGCACAGTAAAGTATGGGGTGCCTCAAGGATCAGTTTTAGGCCCTTTAATGTTTACAATATACATGCTACCCCTGAAAGACATTAGGCCAGAGGAGAAATGGTAGTACTCAACTGAGCCTGGTTTCTCTCGACGTTTTTTAATTCTTCACTTTCTTCAATTGGTGAAGTTTTTTCCTCACCGCTGTCACCACTGGCTTGCATGGTTCAGGATCTGTAGAGCTGCGCATCTGTGGATTGCTCTTCAGTGTTTGGACTCTGTGTAGTGACTATTAAACCACACTGAACTGAACTTGAATTAAATTACAGCATGGTACATCCGCTAAGGGCTTCTCTTCAGATTCATCAACACGCATGTGTTTGTATTTTAAGGACAAAATTATTATTATTGTGGACTATTATTTCAATAGTCAACAGAACAAACAATCATTATACAATAACTTGCCTAATTACCCTAACCTGCCTAGTTAACCTAATTAACCTAGTTAAGCCTTTACATGTCACTTTAAACTGTATAGAAGTGGCTTGAAAAATATCTAGTCAAATATTATTAACTGTCATCTTGGCAAAGACAAAATAAATCAGTTATGAGAAAATTAGTTATTAAAACTATTATGAAACTTGCAAACGTTTCACATTAAAGTCCGAAATATACATAAACATTTTTGCATGTATAAAAATACTCAAACTCACCTTTGTCTCAATCACATTTACACACTGCGTACCCCCAGTGACATCACTCGTAGAAGAAGTGCAAGAAAGGAGGAGCAAGAGCTCAAGCTCCCCCTCGCTAGAGCTCAGCTCTGCCCAAATGGCTCTGCAGTGAGCACCACTTGTTGCTCGCTGTAGAAGTTGGGACTAGATCAACTTTTCAAGCGCTGACGGAAGCGTCAGCCAATCAGAGTGCTGTATGCAAATACACCTCCTAGACAGTAGCCTATTGCTGACTGAATTTCATTGGCTAAAGCTGCTATAACGATCGCTTTAGCCCCAACTTCAGTCAAACGTTGACGCTATAGCCCTGTGTGAATGGGGTGCTATTCTCTGTTCAGGATTATTTAGTTTATGGACATTTGTGACGTGGCTGCAGTATACAGTTAATAAAATAAACAGAAATAACTTTCGAAATATGGAATAATGCTGACATAATGATCTCTCTCTTTTTCCTTTTTAAAGAAGAGAGAAGAACAAAAGCATCACTGCTTGAATTGATTCGGAATTGTTTCATGGTTATTTTTTTCACAGTGTAATAATGAATACGCATCAGACAAATTTTTAGGATATGAATCTGAAAAAACACATATAAAAAAAGTCAGACTTCAGTTTTTAAATACCTTAATAGCAACATTACACACTGCACTGAGGGTAATATCTGAAAAAGCCTAACAGCTGCACGTTAAAAGAAGACAAACAGGCGTGTTCTTACCTGTGGGGTCAAACTCATGCGAGAGGGGGACTGACGCCTTGTCGCTTTTGGCCTTTTTATCTGGGGGATGGTCCTTGCTGAGAATACTTCCTGTCCTGTGTAAACACAAATGGGAAAAGGGTCACCATTACCGCCACATCATGCTATTCTTATCCAACAGCACACAAAAACTAGACAGGAAATGTGGATCCACTTACAAGGGGTCACACTCATGCCCCTTGTCCAAAAACAGGCCCAGAAAGAGTAGACAAAACATTTCTGCTTAATGAAATGATAAATAAGTTTGATGATTGTGAAGAGCCTTTTTTACTAGGTATGGTCAACTGGTCGTTTCTCAAATTATTTTGGGTTGAGTAGCTATAATACTGTACAGTACCTTTTAAGATGATTTTATACAGTAGATGACACTTCATAGAGTGGCTTGCTAATAATGTACAGTGCTTGCAAACTGAAAAATAAATACTATTTAGCATTTATTTGAAATAAATACTACTGGTGGCCAGATGACTGCAATCATTTAGCTGTTCTGAAAAAATATAAAGCTCATCATTACTTAAAAATTATGGTCATGCAGTGCTTCCCACGGGTTTGATATATACTTGCGTTCGTAGCCGGATTAAAACACACCTTTTACCCACAACACATGGTTACCTACATGCGACAAAAAAAGTGATTTTTAACAATATTTTTATTTATTATGACACTGTTATAACAAAACAAAGAAACTATTTGTTTTACTTTTATTCTATTCAGGAGCCATGTCCATCCACTGTCAGAAAGGGATAACTAAAGATTATTTTAATAATCGATTAATCTGTTGATAATTTTTTTCGATTAATTGATAAATCAAATAAAAAAAAGAAAGAAAAGTATTAATTTCCAATCCTTTATTCACAAACAAAACTAAAATCTTTAGAAAGGGCACACACATGTTGTCCTTAAACATCCCTGAGCAGTTATAATAATAAGAAGAAGAATAAGAATAAAAACAATAATAATATTAAAAAACTAACTTAGTAGTTTTGTCCTGTCTTTAATCCAAATATCTAACATAAAATATTCAAGATACATACTAGACACATGAAATAGCATAAGAAATTAAGTGACCCTAATTTAGTGACCTTTATTTCTTGTTTGTTTAAAACTTTATTGTTTGCCAATAGGGTAAGAAAAAAAATCTAAGTGAGATATAATCTCAAACAGAAGTTTTAAGCAACACTTAATTTACTCATGACATTTTTCTTGTCTGTTCTTGATTTAGGATTTTTTTAGATGTTTGGACTGGTAACTAAAGTTTTTTTAATAATCAAACGTTTCTGACAAATTAATTATGTTATTCGTTGTCAATGCTTTTAGTAACAGATTTTATATTTATTTAATTGATTCGTTGTTGCAGCCCTACTGGCAGGTAAAACCTGCTGCTGACATTTTGTACAGTATTGTCAAAGCATGTTAGATATGTATAAAATAATAAAAATATCATAATAAAATTACAAAAGTATAGCAATGATAAATAAATGACAAAGCAAAAAAAATTGACAATATCTCTTAAAAGTATAATAATTGCAAGAATCACACGTGTAGATTATTTAAATAGGTCAAATGAGTTAATTAAGCATTTCTAACAGTGTATACATATTTTTCAGCCAGTTTAGAAGTAATTTCGTTCTCTCCGAGTATATAGAAAAGCATAGTTTCTGCTACATTCGTTCTTCCTTGGCGGGGCTCCACACCAAAATTCATCCTGCCACAGCAACATTACAGCTTCTCATTCAAAACGTTTTTTGTTTTTTTTTATGGCAGATTTTAATCGCACCAAAATGTATTAAAATATAAGGTAATTATAACAGCATGAACTTTTCTTTAATCATAGTAGTGCTGTGCGTTATTTCTTTAACCCTTTAAGGTGACATGCTGAATGACTGACTGACAGGGCTGCCGGATGCGTGAGGCCAGCAAACACGATGTAGCTTTCAGTTATGATGAACACAGTTTCCATGATTATACTTTATTAATAGATAAAGGTCTATGGTTCATGCAAACAATGACTTTGTCTTGCTGGAGTTTATACCTGTTTAACTTTACTTCAGGATGCATCAATGCCATTCTGTAGGTCTAATAGAGGCATTCAAATATTCCTAACAAATCTAATAAATGTTGGAGAGATACTTGTTACATAAACGCACTAAAGCGCACTTCAGCAGCATTTATTTGAGAGCGCACAAGAAAACCCCGGACGCAAGTCCCAAAAAGGCATGTATCTGTGGGTCCTGTGGGTCTCTGCAGAGCCTGTTTGATTGTCTGTGGGAGTGTTGACAGTTTTTTTGTGCATACACAACAAGTAGGAAACAAGTAGGATGAGAGATTTTTTACTAGTTAATCGAGTGTGAATGTTTGGCTATTAGGCCGATACAAAAAAAGTGTAAAAAAAAAAAAATAATAGTAAAAAAATGTCACCAGATATACTTGGGCGACGGTTAATATAATTGGGCTGCCCGCCCAAGTCTATGTATGGGAAGCACTGGTCATGTGATTTTGAAAACATAGAGGGAAACATAGTCTGAAGTCTGCAGGTTCTTTGTGAATGAATGATGCTGTTTCATTTACATCTCTACACAGAGAAACAAGCATCTTTACAACAAAAACCCTTCAAAAATTCTGGTTTAATTTGAAAAAAACTGCAAAAGAAAACACATTGGTCACACTTTACAACAGGATTTCATTAGTTAATGTATTTACTTACATGAACTAAGGATGATCAATACTTGTGCAGCATTTATTAATCATTGTTCAACATTTCCTAACGCATTATTAAAATACAATTCATGCTTAAGTTCCTAACATTAGTTAATGCACTGTGAGTTAACATGAACTAACAATGAACAACTATGTAATAAATGTGTTGTTGTTTGTTTATGTTAGTAAATATATTAGCTAACATTAACTAATACAACCTTATTGAAAAGTGTTACCAATGTATTTTTTTATGTTTCATTATTCATAATTATTTTAATAAAAAATATATATATATATTTCTCAAGTCTTCATTTTCTCATTGGACATGAAAAGTGAACATCCTGTGATTTCTTTTTTTTCTGTTTTGGTTGACAGATACACATACACAGTCTATCCTTCAAAACGTTGATGTTGTGTTTTAAAAAGTTTTAAAAGTATATTGCAGTACTATTTTTGTTTTTTTTCTCTATGTTATATGGGGTCTATGTTACAAAATGTAAATGTACAAATGGAATCAAACATATAATGTCAAAGATGCCAAAAGAACAACAATTGTCTCATGTAAAAAGAAGAGATAAGTTGAAGAAGACATAAGTTTAAGTATTAGACGAATGATGAATGTGGTAATAGGGTGGGAAAATAATAAGCTTGTGCTTCATCCCACTCCATTTTCGACCATGTTGAAATTTTTATTTATTTATTTTTTTGTTAATGATATTTTGTGTATGATTTTTAATAAATCAAAATCTGAGTGTTGCATCACATGCTGATATCAGCGGGAGCATCAGTGTTGTGTCTATGCTTAACCCGTCTGAAGAAAACCACCATTAGCTATCTATCAGTCTCTGGGCCTCAATGAGGGCTGTTCACAAGGGAAGAGCAACAGGAAGGAGGCACTCAACTCACCTGCTCGCTTTTTTGGGAAACCTGGAAGAAAAACAGGAGTTGTTTTAAAAAAGCGTGCAAAAAAGTTAGTTAATGCTAATAATACTTTAATAACAATTCAGTTTTTTTTTTAAGATGGTACAATACCAATGAAAAGGTATGACAGTTTTTTTACAGGAATACTTTTTACATAAAATACATAAATCAATCAATCTATCTATCTATCTATCTATCTATCTATCTATCTATCTATCTATCTATCTATCTATCTATCTATCTATCTATCTATCTATCTATCTATCTATCTATCTGTCTGTCTGTCTGTCTGTCTGTCTGTCTGTCTGTCTGTCTGTCTGTCTGCCTGTCTGTCTGTCTATCCATCCATCCATCCATCCATCCATCCATCCATCCATCCATCCATCCATCCATCCATCAAACATAATTATACAAACTACTTATTTAGAATGCGCTAAAACAAAACAATTCTTTGGGACAACTATGTTGTTTTGTTCAATGCACTTAAATTGTTCAAAACCTTTTAACTTATTTGTGCTGGGACAACATGAATAATTGTAAGGAATCCTGCAATTTTTTAACTAACTAACTAACTAACTAACTAACTAACTAACTAACTAACTAACTAACGTGTATGAAATGTTATATAAATAAACTTGCCCTGCCTTGCCTAACCGACCATGTATATGACAGAGAGCTACAGCCGTGTAATTGTAAAGGTCTGGATATGAGAGCTACTAAGCAAAAGGGTTTATTTCAAGCCCTATATGTACAGTATGTATGTATATATATTTATATTTGCAATTTTGTTACATTACAACTGTAGTTTTTAAAAAATCCAAATATTATTAAAAAAAAAGTTATGCTGAATAAAAAGGTGTATGTATACAGTTATGTTATTTAAAATATAAAAATAGCTATTATTATTTTATTTTTTTTGGTGCGGCCAGTGAAAATTTTGCCAGGGCAAGTAAAAATCTAATCCACTGCCTCAATCGGGCCAGTAAAAAAATCCTTAGCGTTAAACCCTGCTATAAATGCTGAAAACAGTTGATAAGGTTATTTATATTATGAAAACTGCACTTAAAAAATGACGTTTGCTGTTTGTTCAAATGAGCTGAAATAGCAGAATGTTTTGGGACAATCCTTGTAAATTTGTAAAAACGTAAAATATTAACCTAATTTAATATTAAAATGCATCCCACTGAATATTAATATAGAGTTGAGCTGAGCAGAATAACTAAAAAACATTTTATCAATATAGTACTTTAATGACATTAAATATAAATAAACCTATTTCTACAGGAATTACAACCCATACATGTTTTATGCAATCCATGGCCATACTATGTGTTGATATTCTAATAAATTAAAATCCAGCAGCAAAGGTAAACACTATATTGGAAACTCACAGACAACAAACACCACTAATGACTGTTTCCAAACATCTCCAAACAAGACAGAGAGGCAGTGCATTATTATTTGTTTTTGGATCTTTACATCATCTTTTTGTGGTCTTGTTTGTGCAGAAATGACACTTCAGAATTAATCTGCTCACCCTTATGTCACTGCTATGTTGTAACTAAATATGTACAATGTGAGGTTGCATAATGAATGCGTGTTTGACTTTCCATCACCCTAAACTTTTTAAACTTTACCCAGATTAAATTATCTTGCCAATTGCCTCATGTGCTGTACCAGGATCAGCTGAAAATACCTTTTGACCTGGTCTTACCAGGGTTAGACTTCAGTTGACTTTTAAATGACAAAATTACATGGTCAATAATAAAGACTACAGGCTCATTTTATACACAATAAAGGATATAGACTGGAATAGTACATTAGTTTTTTTGCTTTTTTTAAGGGCTGAGTAGTTTCCAAATATTTATGAGGGATGTCTTGTGTTAGAAAGAAAAATGATTGATTTCCAATTGTTATTGCACTGAAACTAGGGCTGATTGATAAGGCAAAAACTGATATCAGGATATATTTCTTAATGTCAGTGGGTACGATATAAGTCCAATATCAATATGGACACTATTAAAAAGCCAAGAAAAAACTGCCAAAACATTTATTTTAAATAAAAATACTACAAAAAAAATCATTTTCACTTTTATTAGTATTTAGCCTTTACAAACAAGAAATGTGAAATATACTATCAAAAAAAAAAAAAAAAAACTCAGCTTATTAACAATATGTTACTATTATATATTAACAGTAATGTCTTATGACTGTTCTGGTTTCGGTGTTGGGGAGGGGGGTAATAGTGATGGTGAGGTGACAGGTTGGCTTAAACTTTTATGATGCTCATCATCTGACTCTCAGTATGTTCTATCAGGTGGAACTGCTACATATACATATACAAAAAAACACACGCACGCACACACACACAATAGTTAAAGAAATGAGACAATAAACAATTCTTATCAAGTCTTTAGAAGGTAAAAAAAAGAGAGAAATAATATTAAATGTGTTGAATATGATAAACTATTTATTATATAAGACTGAATAATTCAGGGAGAAAACTTAACATCTTGATAAAATAATACTTTAAGTATACAGTGGAGTTATAAGTGCTTTCCATTACAAGTGTGGGAATATTATTGATGCTTTTTGCATTCCCAAAGTCTAAACTAAGAGCATCTTAACCCACTCAGAAACAAAAGATCATCTTGTGTGAATTAAAATAAAGCTTTAATCTGGTGATGAAATTCTGTGAGTTTTCCGGGAGACAGAACAAAATGGGAGATGGGTCTAAAATACGGGAGACTCCCGGGGAGTGTTGGCAGGTATGGCTGGAAGGGCATCCGCTGCGTGAAAACATTTGCTGGATAAGTTGGTGATTCATTCCACTGTGGCGACCCCAGATTAATAAAGAGACTAAGCCGAAAAGAAAATAAATGAGTAATAAAAAATAAAATAAAATAGCAATATTATGACATGAGTTTTATTGGTTAATAATGTAATTTATAGGAGACTAAAACTGCCAGTGGGTGGCAGAAAGTCCCTGTCCTAAAGAATTATTGATTGTATTATTAACATAAACCGTTCAAAATGACTGATACTTTTAGAAACAAAGGAAGGCTGTGTCCAAAATCTAAAAAATGCGGCTTTAGTTTAAAAGATACATTACATCCTTCAGACACAGAATCTGTCTGAATCCCATAGCTGTACTATCTGTCTCCTAAGAAACCAACAGATTGATATTGAAAAGGCAGCACAGATGTATCCTTTTCTTCCTTTGATATCCCACAATCTTTTGAGTTCCTTTCATGTCAGTTAACCATAAAAATAAAAATCTATTTGAAAGTTGAATTTTGCATGTAAACTTTTTCCCACTTATGTCATTTCTAGTGAGAACTTACAGTAGTACTGTAGCAGTACAGTCATAGTTAAATATCACTGACTAGAATAATAGAATCAAAAAAAATTTTTTTTTTCAGGAACGAAAGACTGCTATGATTGGAGAAGCACAAATGTTGAACTATTTTCATTACAGAACAGAAAAAAAGAAAACAGAATATTTACTCAGTATTAACTTGTATCTATTGAACTGCTGTACGAAATCAATATCACATTTGAGTTCATGCTCATCTTCACTCTTGCTTGTGTGATATGAATTTACCAAGTCATATATCTTTTACATAATACAAAACCCATAAAGGATTTACTTGGTGTTTAATACAGGAGAGTTATCCTAAATCGATTCTAATAGGATTAATCAATGCTTTTAGAGTCATAAAACTTGCTTGCAATGTTAATAATAATACTTAATAGCCTGCTTTGGATCCTAACGTGAATGTTTTCAAAGTTCACAAAAAATAAAAAATTAAAATTCCAAATGCAAACTAGAAAAGTAAAATTTGTTGACAAACTGTGTATTTTGATTGAGTCATTAGATCAGCAGCTGATGTAGTGTTGCATAATAACCAACAGTAAACAAGCCAAGCATAAAGGCTGAATTACATTTCTTGAGTCGAATGACTGCCATTACCCACGACGCATGTCTTGCGCAGAGTCATGCATTTATACTTCTGCTTTCTGTTTGTGTTGCTCTGCAATGAAACTTCTAAAATTCTAGATGGCAGTGGGTTTTTATGTTGAGCTGAGCTGAGCTTGCACTACGCGTTGTCGTGATGTGTAGTTACATTGTTTGAAAGGTGTGCCTCACCGTCGACGTTACCGTCGGCATCAGCCACAGTGAGGGGTAAGGCTGTACTACGCAGACATGTACTATGCAAAAGAATAAATCAGTCTTGATGGAGACATCAGAATTTTGGAAATGTGTTGGATCTCCCATTATTCACATTAACCCTCTCAACCAAGTGTAAAAACTTTCACAAATTACGGTATTTTTATTTGAAATATTGCATTTCTATCACTAGTTACTTATACTTCAAAATGAGCATTAGCAGAGGGTGTTGGAAACCCAACTAATATCAGCTCGCACATCACTACAAACGAACATTCAGAATCATTGCTTCATTACATCATGCAATGTTGTTTAAACAGCGTAGTTATGTCAAGTTAAAAATGATTTTCAACTGCTCTTTCAAAGGTGTCTGAACATTAGATAAACAAGTCTCGTTCAACAACAATTGATAGTCCGTTTTTAAAATCTGCAGTTTTGCATTTCACCAATTCACAAACAGCCTGAACACTTTAAGCTGGTGTGACCTGGTTTTTCCAGCAGGGATTTCTGCCTTTGACCACAGAGCGGAAAAGACACTGCTTGCGTACAGTAAGGCTTTCATCGAACACACACACACGTTTTGATGTTTCCACGGACATCAGATCCTCCATTCTCATGAGTCACATGTATTTTTGAATTTGTGCGTCAGCTTTTAACATGGCAGACTCCAGAGATAGATTGAAGCGATAAACTCTGCGGCCAAACACGCAAGAGCCGCCGTATCTCATCAGCGAAGCCACCACTCTTGGGGAAGGAGCCTCTTTACAGAAATAGCTCAGACATCTTGTCCTCCCTCCCTCCTCTCAGCTCCTTCCGTGGGTGTTTTTTGTTTTTG